AATTGTTTAAATCTTCTTTAAATTTTTTCATATTCGAATAAATAGTTAGGTGCGCACTGAATGAATTAACCTGAACTTTACAAACGATTCACAATTACTAAATAGTTCATTTTTGAGAATAGGTAAAAAGCTGACTGCACGATAATCACTACAATTTCATATAATATACTTATAAATCAGTAAATATAGTAATAATATATTATGTCACGTACACGCGTATAATATGTGGACAAGCGGACATCCCCATTGTAAAAATACCATAAGAACAAACAAACTAGTTACAGATAATAATTTGACTTTATTTTAACTATGTTTTACGATTTATCATATTTCATTAATCATGTCATTCGTTATCTATATTGCCCAATATACGAAGGGCATTTTATATACTGTCCGGACAATGTATAAAATGCCCAAATTGTATACTTTGTCCGTAATATATATATATATATATATATATATATTGATTTTAGATACCCAAACAAAAAACAATACGTATTAATGTAAATCAAAAATATTTTTAATCTCCAATTCCTGTAACATAATTCCATTCTAACGAATTTGTTCAATCTCAATATCTATTTCAGTTTAAATAACTTCTAACCAACTTAAATATTAAGGTGTGATTCCTATGGACGCGTTTGCAGACGCTCCGCGCCGCGGCGCAATTCAAGTCCCAGTCGCGCAGTCGATTTTTTGGCCGCGCGGCTTGGGTACGGATTCCTATAACCGCACGACTGCTGCCGCGCCGCGCCGGACCGCGACGAACCATTTGCTGCAATTCTCCGTTAGCAACAAGACGTATTTTACAATAGTTAATTTTACAATATCTGTTTCTTTTTCAAAATGTCTTTAAACAAAAAACAAAAGTTAATTTTAAATTTACTTCTTTTACAAGAAGTAGATGAAGAACAAACAATTGTTAATAAAGTAATGTTTAACAATTCTAACAAGGCACATGAGATGTTTTTAACTAGGAAAACAGAAGGTGTCTTCAGTATACTCATCGAAAAATATTTGTGGAGAGAAGGATGTCCACTTATTAGTTCTGTTAATTTTACGTCTTCTTCTGGAGGAAACGTAACTTGTGTTGACCGTGACATTTTTAAAAAATTATAAAAAAAGTGTATAATAATATGTACTAAACAATATGTATAATATAATATACATGAACACACAGCCACGCGCGTCTGCGATTTGACTCCCTTCAGAGCAGTCGCTAGATCGCGGTCGCGGCCGCGCGTGATTATCGCGCGCCGCAGCGATTGTCATAGGAATCGGTTCCATCTATCGGCAAGTAAACTAGTGCAACGCGGCTGAGATTTGAATCGCGCCGCGCCCATAGGAATCACACCTTTAGAAGTTATAATGACGTACTCATAAAATTTAAGAGATATATTTTTACCACTTATACTCATAAATTGATTACCATACGATAGAAAAACAAAATATTTTATTAACAAATTTTAATTCATTGTAAGAAAAATTGTAAGAAAAAAATCTAATAATATTATTTGACATTTTAGCTAATCCTGTATGCAAACTGTATAGAAATCAAGGATTCAATTTTTTTCAAAGTCAAATTTTAAAAATATTACTTTACGATTTTTACAATTTATTTAAAAACAAATATTGGGTTAAAGTAATTTGGAACCAATGTATTGAAAATACACATACATGTATCGAACTTGCCTATTCTAAGTGCCGTAAAAAAAATGTTTCTTACTATAAACCATATTAAAATTAAAAAATAATTAAAATACAACTATTAATTAACATAGTTTTTTATTTTGTTCAATTTCCATAGACCTGTGGGCGTAAATTTGAGGGGATTAAGGGGGCTTAGCCCCTACAAACAATCTAATAAGAAGATTCTGAAGATAAAATTAATATTAAAAAATAATACATCAATTGGTAGCCCATACATGTTGTATTTTTCTATATTTAGTCAATTTTTTGCAATTACTAAGAAAATTACTGTAAATTACATTAAATTATCTTCTTACCTCCCAAGGTAAAATAAAAAAATATTTTCTGACGGAAATAGCTTGAAATCTTCGTCGTACGTAGAACGTAAAAGTACATAGAAAATATTATTATCAAATATTCTGTGAACACTAATTGCCACAAACTTCATAATTCTTTTATGAATGCGAATCTCCGATTACGTTATATTGTATGGACGCAAATCGTCACTTTTTTATAATTATTGATTGCATGCTAATCGCCATTATTCAAGTATCGTTATCGCGACACAAATATGGTTTTATATATCATTATTGTATCGATGCAAACAGCCATTTAAATATTATTATTATTATTCATATTACATTTTTAAACATAATCATGGCAGTAGATTAGTACATTTTTTATATAATTTATGAATTTTTAGTTTTTTTTTTGTATAATATAATAAATTATACAGATTTTAGTTATAGGAATTGGTGTCCCGACAATTGAGCGCGCGACAATTGAGCGCAGACAATTGAGCGAAGACAATTGAGCGCGGCGAAAATTGGGCGCTGCGAAAATTAAGCACCGAGACAGTTGAGCGCTTTAACATAATATTATACTATACTGAGTAAAAGCTTAGTGCAGAACTGCTGTACATGAAATTACGAAATTAGAAATGAATTTGTTCGCAGTATCTGCGAATACCTATATAACCCGTCAGATAAATCCTTATGTTTGATGATAATCAGATAATGTTATCGATACGGTGTTATTGAAAGAATAAAATTCCAACGACGGTAATGCAGCAGTAAATGTAGACTCTTATCGCTGGATAACTACACATGTGAACTTTGCAAGGTATTTATTGATGTTATATTTTCACACGTGCATACTGAACCAGCTTCATTGAAGGAGTTCATTCCACCTGAGTTTACAACAACATTAGATGGTAAACCATTTTTATTATATGATAGTTATTCGCAAAATCAAGAAATTCCACGCATATTAATTTTTTCAACTACGGAAAATCTTGATATGATGGTTGATTGTGAACATTTGTATATTGATGGTACTTTTTCATCGTAACCTACTATTTTCTACCAGCTATATACAATTCACGGTGTACAATTTAGTAATGTTTTACCATCCATTTTTGTACTTCTTCCAAATAAAACTGAAGAAATATACTTACGTTTATTTAAAAAAATCCTAGAGTTAAGACCAGAATTAAATCCAATTTCTATAATGCTACATTACGAACAAGCTGCAATAAATGCAGTGAAAAAAGTATTTCCTCAAACGGAAATAAATGGATATTTTTTCCACTTTTGTCAATCTATATGGAGACATATTCAAAACACAGGACTTGCATAAAATACCATGAAAATTCCGAGTTTGCATTAAATATTAAAATGTTAAATGCATTAGCATATGTTCCACCAGAGTCTGTTATTACTGCATTCGAAGACCTATTACAAACTGATTTTTATAAAGAACATGAAACAATATTGACACCTCTCTTAGACTATTTTGAAGACACATGGATAGGTCGTATTAGTCGTAACAGACAACGAAGATCCCCAAAGTTTTCGATAAAATTATGGAACTGTTATGGTTTGATTAAAAATGACATACCAAGGACCAATAATGCCATTGAAGGATGGCATAATTCATTTAAATCAATTTTAAATGCAGTTCATCCTTCAATTTGGAAATTTATCGACGCTTTAAAAAAAAGAGGAAAAGTTGAATCGAGTGAGAATTCATCAGTTTATTGCAGGTCATGATCCAAAACTAAAAAAAAAAAAAATACAAAGATTCAGGATTAAGAATAAAAAATATTTGTGAACAATTTCATTCAAGATCAACTGAACAGTTTTTAAAAGGCATTGCTCAAAATATTTAATATTTTAACTTAACTCATAATGTATTTATTTGCAGTATTATTAAAATATGATGTATTATTAACTATGACTTATTATTTTTTTTTTTTTAATTATTAACTAACTTTTTTAGGTTTATATCGCGCTCAATTGTCTTAGAGCTTAATTTTCGCAGCGCTCAAGTTTCGTGCGCTCAATAGTCTTCGCCCAATTGTCGTGCGCTCAATTTTCTGCGCTCAATTGTCGTGAATCCATAGGAATTTTTAGCTGACCAGTTTTGCGCTTCAAAAATTAGAAGTTTTATTTTATTTATTACATTATTTTTTGCGCCGAGAGCATAAAATAATATTACGCGCGCCTGGACGCTGAAATTGCCGCGTTCACCGCTTTTACGTACGATCGCGGTCGGTACACTGTGTGTATGTGTGTATAGGCCGGACAGCAGTGGTTGGTATCGTCACGCAACTACTGTCCGACTATGTGGTGTGGTGGTGTATATGTCTGTATGTGTTTACTCAAAACTAGAAGAGGGTAGCTAAAATAAATGTAAAATGATATAAAATGGTAATTATGTTGCTGTATTGTAAAATAATAATATAATAAATAAACAATAAATCACAGAAACATCAAAGTACAAAAAATATATGATAATACTATTACGGCCCTTTTGGCCTAACAAGTAAAAAATGTATAATATATAATAATAAGCCTAACTAAAATGCCGGTTCGGCACAACCAGATATAACAATTATCTATAAAATAATTAAGTAATAATTGCAAGTTTATAAAGAAATCACATTAACATATAATATAAATGGTAACTAAATAAACTAAATAAACAGCGTAGCCCTTATAACTAAACAGAATTAAATATGAATATAGTTGAAAATAAATAGGTAAAGTATAATAAAATTAATTTATGTCCCTTCTGGCTCAATATAATATTAATATAGAATAAATATGAAATATTATATGAATTAATATAGCAGACTGCTATTAGAACAGTAGCTGCCTAGTATAATTAGTATAAAGTATAAAAGAAAAACCCTTCTGACTAAACAGCGATAATTATTATTTCTTAGTTGGTAAAGATAGCCCTTTTGGCCCAACAATTAATAAATGTATAATATATAATAATAAATGTAAAAATGTAATATAACTCACGGCTAAGTCGGTGAACTGCTGGCCAACCGCTACCTATGCCTATAATATGCAATATAAAATTTACACAACAAATAAATTCACAAAGGTATAAATTAAAGCTAATATAAATAATATTGTAACAATAATATGGCAATTAGCGCCCACGCAATAAATATAAAAAGTGTAGTTATCAATAACAAAAAAAAAACAGCGATTCGTGCCTGTAAAATTTGTATAAAAAAGAAAAATTGTTCGCGACGACGCTATGGGCTATTTCACGACGACGTACGAAAAGCAATTAAAGTTGCGGCGGCTGTATTAAAATACACGCACCAACGAGCCGGTGACGCAGATAACGCGCCGATGACCGATAACGCGTTGGGACTTAATTCATTTAAATAATTCACACACAATTAATAACAAAAAAAAATAAACCACAATACAGATAATTGTGCGTGTGTGTGCGACCAAAGTCGCCCGTGAAACCCAATCATCAGGTGGTGACCCGAGCAGATACGGGCACCTCGCTGTCGGCGGCGACATTTATTGTATTTATTTATTTCCAGTTAGTTACCTAAATGATTAAACTAAAAAGAACATTTTTTTTATTATATAACTATTATCGATTTATTATTGGATCAGGAGAGCCGATTATAATATTTATACATTGTTTCATTTTGAAATATTATTCAATTTTGAGGAACCATTTATTTATACTAGTTACCTTTTTTCCTTAGTCTTAAGTACACACAAGCCATATACTACATATATACACACAACACATTTAACCAACACATAGCTCACTAATCTTTGTACAGAGAACCCAAACACTACTAGTTAAGCTATTATACCCATAACATACCTTACCTTTATCGGTTTTTAAGAGTAGCATGCGATTAGCATTAGTCGGTAACCGGCCACGTGTCATACTATTTTATGCAACTAGCTCAAACTTGTGTACTTAAGTATAAACATAAATTTATTTTATATTGCACATTATCTTATTTACGAAAAAATATTTAGGTTAGTATTATTACTTTATTAATAGCCAATTATAAATTGGAAAAAAATATAAACAATAGTTGCTTTTTATTTTATTTATCTATATTTCTATATCAGACTTCACTTCTCACAAATTTAGAACAATGTGTTACTTTTTTGAACTATAAATTATAAGTTAAATATAAACATAAATTACAGCTTAATTATTTCATGCATATATTACCTTTATAACAATACTTTGTATTTTATAAAATATAGTAGTCATATAGGAATATATATTCATATCCTATATTCATTATACTATTGTTGGAATTACTTCCAACATTACATACACTTTCATTTCATGGTAATTTTATGAAAGTTAAAAAATAATGGACCAATGAATTGTTCAACTTACTTATTAATAAAACAAATGGTAAATTTAATTATTTAAAAGAAATAAATGAAACACGTATAAAGATAATTTCAAAAGAAAAACGTTAGCAGTATGACAAAATGCAATTTTAAGTATAATATCTACTCACGATCATGGACAAATCAATGTCAGTCTGTATTGTTATATTTGTACACTCTTAAGATTTCCATAAGTTTTAATAATTTATATTTTTTGAAAAACGTACACTTTTTCTAGTATTGAAAACTTAAGGTTGAAAACAAAATAATAAAACCAAAATAAATTTATTATAATCGTATGCAGATCGGGAATTTATTACTATCCAATAGGTATGTTAAACTAACTCAATTGTTGTTTTATTTACATCGGATGGCTTTTGTACAAAATATCGTGTATATATATATATACATATACATATACACTGTAATGCATAATGTCTTTTTTTCTATATGCTATCAATAAGATAATTAACGACATGTAAACAATTGGAAAATAATTGAAAAATTTATCAAACTATTAAATATTAATTTTAATTACAATAATTGTTTATTATTTTAAATGGAATCACATAAATTCTAAATACCCTTCTATTAAAATGTGTATATACCTTTTTCTACATTTATTCTCATAAAATTACATTTTATGTTTAATTCCAGTACATGGGAGCATCCATGGTATTAGCTCCAGCAACGGTCACATACGCTACTGTCAACCAACAAGACATGTTCAACATCTGAAACTTACCATACATCTTAAGAAAATTAATTAGGTGGGTGATAAACATTTAAAACGCTTGTGATGACGAATTCGCATCAAAATATCAATCATATAAATATGTTGTTGTTATTTTATTAATTATTTAAGCTATTTATTATTATAATAATATGTCCTTGAAAAAATATAATTTACCTAATTTAATTGATCCGATAAAGTAATAAGTAATATTATTTCTTATATTTAATTTTTGAACAAAATTTGTCAACTATTTCAAAGGACAATGGAACAGGACTGAAATAGTATATTTCTATATCAGTCATTGTTTGCCAATTCTTCTTCTTTCATTTGTCATATTTGAATAATGTTTTATTAGTTAAATACCATGTATATTTAAATGTTTCCTACCATATTATTCTTTCATTTTTCATTTTCCTTTTTTTAATAAAATGTCCAGTTAAATGTATTTTCATCCGAACCAAAAAAATGTTTATATCACTTTCGATCATATCACAAAAGGAAAACATGGTAAATGATATTTCACCTAAAACCATGACATTTATTTTGAATTATTTGATTCCTTTTCGCAAAATTGTGTTTCAAGTTTATTAGTGTTATTGTATTTATGTAAAAAGTTTTTAAAAATATTTACTATAAATATTAATTTTAAAATCATTGTTACAAAGGCTTCTCCAAAATATCGACAATTACGTTACGTTAATGTTAATTAAGTTTTTTTGTTACAATATCAAATAAATCTTTAGTCATACTCACAATTGTTATTAGAAAAATGCAATAAATTTAAAGTTACTGACTAATATAAAACTAAACTTATAAGATTTATTACTATCCGTCTCCAACAAAAGTAAAATAAGATATTATGTTAAACAACTCAAAAATGGTTTTTTAAGAATATAAATTAATAATTAAATTAACAAAAAATTCAAATTAGATTGTACAAAAGATTTATTTAGTTCAATTATTTTTCTTTATAATTATTATTACTTATTAAATATATTATTGGTCAATTAGCTGTACCTCTAATGAGAATTTTGAGAACTTTTATGTATCCCTGAGATGTTACTTTATTACGAGTGAACGAATGAAATCTATAACTTTTCTTATACAATTAGTGATTTACAATATAAATATTGATCATTTAATTACTTTTTTTTCTGACTTTTTATTTTTGCTGTTAACTATATAGTTGAAATAAAACTATAGTACAACTTTTCAATTAATAAAATGTTCATTAATATTTTTACAATAGCTTAAAGAGGAAACAATCTCTATATTTAATAAATATATATTTAAATATATATTTAATAAAATATAAAATAAAAAAAAATATAAAATATAAAATAAAATATAAAATATATATTTAATAAATAGACAAATATACAAAAAGCTAAAAAGTTTAAACAATGTTATTTTTATTTAGGTTAGCCAAGAAATAAGTAATAAGTAATAAGCTCAAAATACATCTTCTTTTTTCAAATAAGATTTTTAAAAAACAAAGAAATTAGATACATCTATGAAAATTATTTTAAGCTATTGTTTTTAACATAAAAATTGACAATATAAACATGACCTTTAAGATAAAATATATAATGAAAAAAATTTATTTATCTATAGCTATTTTATGATTTATAATAATACTTAATCTTGATTCCTATTATCTCGAGAAATGTTTATAATTTGTAATATATTTAATCAAAAATAAATTATTCTCATTTATATGTTTAGTAAATAAATGCAATATTCTTATAAGAATAAAATATGTAAGGGAAATTTAAAATCTAGTGTTATTTTGATTTATATAACAAATAACGAATATCATTATCATATTTTAATATTATGGAGTAAATAAACTTTAAAATTGGTTCTATTATTTTAATGTTGTCTATACAATTATTGAAAGTTATAAAATTATACTATTATTGTTTTGTATTTTTATCTCTAATAGATTTTAACCATCACCAACTTTATAATTCAGTAAAGATTGTATTATTATTAACTTAGTTTTGTACGATAATTTCTTGTCATTTTAAGAATAATACTGCATTTTTTGGTTTAATATATGATTTATTTAAATACAAACTAATTTAATTTTAAAAAGGTTTGTATGTTTTTTTTTTTTTTTTTTACATATATAATTGTGTTTTTATACTTTTTTTTCTTATAAGAAGTGCATCACTTTGAATTTTTAATGATTCATCACTTTTGTTAAACACTAGTCATAATATTTACCAACAATGTGTAGAACTCTGTTTTGATAAAAATATTGTAATTGTGTTCACTATTACTACTTAAACCTACTATTAGTATACAATAAATTAATATAAATATAGTAAAAACTAATGAGTAAACTTAATATTTGTATTATATAAATAAATCTATATTCATAAAATTATTATTATATGTAGTTATACTGGTCGTAATAATAATAATAAATGATCTCTTTTTCTTTTACTGCGTAATAATTTTTAATGAACAAATTACAATTATAACATCCTAATAAATATATGTTTTTTCTGCTGTAAACACTTTTTTAAGTAGTAAATCTACACTAAACTTTTTGTGCAGATTTTTTTAGAACTGGTATTAAATACACATATTACTTAAAAAAACTTAAAACAAAACTTTAAAACTTAGAAATAATGTAAAATTTTGGTTCAAAACCATTTATATATTTTCCTTTTTGTTTGTCTACAACATCATTTTTTAATTTTATATTTTGAGATTTTAATACCAACCCTCAGATACTGACTTTTAACATAAAAAATGGGAAGATTTTCAAATTCTTGTAGAAAATCTCACAGCATAGTATAAAATAGATAATAAACTTGAGAAATCAAAATACGATCAAATTAAAAATATTCCATTACACCGGCTCAACTTCAACATAAATGTTTACAAGTACCATAAAACGTTTATTTAAAAAAAATAGGAATAAATAGGAATCTGTAGGTACTCATTACTTTATACTTATTGTAGACGCACGTGAATATAAAAAAAATAATT